TGCCTGAACCCAAGAGGCGGAGGTTGCGGTGAGCCGAGATCGCGCCATTGCACTCCAGCCTGGGTAACATGAGTGAAAACTCCGTCTCAAAAAAAAAAAAAAAAAAAAAAAAAAAAAAGTGCATTGAAAGTACAGATGCGGAAACTGGGGCTTAGGGAAGGGAAGAGACTCTCAAGATGGCATAGCTAGTGAGAGGCTAGCTCCAACCCAGTCTCTGTGCAGTAAAGCAAGCACATTCTTTCCCCTACACCCTGCTACAAAAGAGGGGGCTTTTAACATAGTCTTTCAAGAATAAGTGACCTGCCTGCTGTGTTTGGGGTTGGGGGCTTTGTTCTCCTGTTCCCCTTCCCTTATTTCTCTCTCCAAAATTGACAGTTTCCTTCTCTCACCTGGGTACTTCCTAGGCTTTGGGGGCTCCTTCCTCAGTGGTTCCTTGAAGAAAAATCTCTGGAACCCTTGTGTCAGCCCTTCTGGTGTTCATTTTTTGAGAAGGGGGATGGGGTGCGTGAAGGGTGTTGCCTGGCCCAGTTAGATCTCTTCCCTGCCTGGTGAGGGAGGGTGTGGAGACTGTTTTTTTTTGTTGTTTTTTTTTTGAGATGGAATTTCACTCTTGTTGCCCAGTCTGGAGTGCAATGGCATGATCTCTGCTCACCACAGCTTCCGCCTCCTGGGTTCAAGCAATTCTCCTGCCTCAGCCTCCCGAGTTGCTGGGATTGCAGGCATGCGCTACCACACCTGGCTAATTTTTTTTTTTTTTTTTTTTTTGAGATGGAGTCTTGCTCTTTCCCCTCGGCTCACTGCAACCTCCACCTCCCAGGTTCCAGGGATTCTCCTGCCTCAGCCTCCCTAGCAGCTGGGACTACAGGCACTCACCACCATGCCCAGCTAATTTTTGTATTTTTAGTAGAGATGAGGTTTCACCATATTGGCCAGATTGGACTTGAACTCCTGACCTTGTGATCCACCTGCCTCGGCCTTCCAAAGTGCTGAGCCACTGCGCCTGGCCTAATTTTGTATTTTTAGTAGAGACAGGGTTTCTCCATGTTGGTCAGGTTGGTCTTGAACTCCCAACCTCAAGTGATCCGCCATCTCGGCCTCCTAAAGTGCTGGGATTATGGGCGTGAGCCACTGCGCCTGACCTGTGTTTTTTTTTTTTGAGTGTAGACATCTTGGGCTCTGTTTCTTCTGCACTGGGATCTGCAGCAGCTGACGGTGGGGAGGAGTATAGAGATAGAGTCCCCTATCCCAGACCCTGAAGGAACACCTTCCCTCCCGTCCTGTCCCGTCCCGTCCCGTCCCATGCAGTCCCAGACAGTACAGCAACTTTCCGTCTTCAAGTTGACCTTGTGAGTAGCAAGTACAATCTCAGTATTAGGGCCTCACAGCTGCTGCCCCCAGTGAGGTGGCCACTTTGGAAGGTCAAGTCACTTACAAGGAATGGTAATTTTTTTCTTTTATTTGCTTTTTTTTTTGTTTTGTTTTTTTGAGTTGGAATCTGGCTCTTTCACCTCGGCTGGAATGCAGTGGTGCAATCTTGGCTCACTGCAACCTCCAACTCCCTGGTTCAAGGGATTTTCCTGCCTCAGCTTCCTGAGTAGCTGGGACTGCAGGTGTGCCACCATGCCCAGCTAATTTTTGCATTTTGGTAGAGACGGGGTTTCACCATGTTGGCCAGATGGTATTGATCTCCTGACTTTGTGATCTGCGTGCCTTGGCCTCCCAAAGTGATTACAGGTGTAAGCCACCGTGTCCAGCCCTTTTTTTTTTTGAGACAGAACATTACTCCGTCACCCAGGATAAAGTGCAATAGCACGATCTTGGGTCACTGCAGCCTCTGCCTTCTGGGTTCAAGCAATTCTTGTGCCTAAGCCTCCTGAGTAGCTGGGGTAGCTGGGATTACAGATTCGTGCTACCCTGCCTAATTTTTGTATTTTTAGTAGATATGCGGTTTCACTGTGTTGGGTGAGGCTAGTCTCAAACTCCTGACCTCAGGTGATCCACCCGCCTCAGCCTCCCAAAGGGCTGGGATTACAGGCATAAGCCACCTTGCCTGGACTTAATTCCATTTAATTTTTTTAATTTTAATTTTTTTTTTACTTTATTTTTAAACTTCAACTCAAGTAATGGTAATTTCAGTGTTCACATTAATTTAGGATCTGACTTGAGTTCAGTTTTTTTTTTTAATTCTCAGTCAGGAGGCTCTTTGCAGCTGAAGTTCACCCAGGAGAAAATTGGCACTTGTCTAAAAAGGGTTGGGGACTGGGTGTGGTGGCTCAGGCCCATAATCCCAGCACTTTGGGAGACCAAGGTGGGCAGATCACGAGGTCAGGAGATCATCCTGACTAACAAGGTGAAGCCCATCTCTTCTAAAAATACAAAATTAGCTGGGCGTGGTAGCGGGTGCCTGTAATCCCAGCTACTCAGGAGGCTGAGGCAGGAGAATCACTTGAACCCTGGAGGCGGAGGTTGGAATGAGCCAAGATGGAGCCACTGTACTCCAGCCTGGGCGACGGAGTGGACTCTGTCTCAAAAAAAAAAAAAAAAAAAGGTTGTGGGCTTAAACCTCCAGCCTTAACCCACACTTACCTGCTCCCTGATTCGCTCATGTTCCCTGGCTAAGACCACTCTTTCATCTTTTTAGGGGCATGCTCATTCAGCTCATTTATTGCCTGCCTGTTGCTATAATATATACCAACCTGTGCCAGGTGCTGAGAAAAAAAGATTCCTGATAAAAATCTCAAGCTCAAGAAGCAACATGAAGTTGTCCCTTCTGGAAGAAGGAGGGCACTGGGCAGCCTATCTGGGGTAGAGGATGGGCTGCAGCCCTGTCCCGGCCCCTCCTTCAGCTGCCCCTTCTCTTCTGTTAACTTCTGTTCCTCTTCCCCCACCAGCCCCTCCCACCCCCACAAGGGAAATGGGACATTCTTCGAATTCTTAAGGGCTCACACAAGCCCTGGTTCTCTGCCACTTCCTCCCTCCATTGAGGAGTGGGGTGGGGTTCAGAGAAGCCAGGGCAGTTAACCCCTCGGTTGCTGGACTACTTCGGGCCCGATTCTGACCCTCTGCCCCACCAGACAGAAGTCTGGCCGAGCCTTGGAACCCAGTGACTCCAGTAGCCTAGAATTCAGTGAGCGTTGGGAGTTGGAGGAAAATCAGAGGCTTGTCCTTGTTTTCTCTGCGTTTTATCAGCCTCATCCAAAGTTCCAGCTTGCTTTTTTTACTCTCTTCTCGGGAGGCTGCTGCAAGGCGGGGTGGAGGGCTCCTGCAGGTGCTGGGGGTGCGAGGAGAGGCAGAAGGTGAAGCCTTCTTCTCTGGATGCTGCTTCCAATTTGCAGAGGCAGAGGTTCCTCCAGCCAAAAGAAGCTGGTTAGTCCCTCCTTGTTTCCTCCAGCTTTATAGCCCTAGGCTCTGCCTCGTTGACCTTTGGCCCAGCTGAGATGTTTCCTGGGGAGGAGCCTGTGGAGAGAGGACCTGGGGGTTTGTGACCCAGCTGTGTTTCACTTAGCTGTAGAAGTACCTCCCCCGCAGCAGCATTCTCTCTGCTGGGCCAACTAGTTAGGCGTGGGGATTCTGGGATGACCCAGCTGTAGGCCCTGCTTGCCAGGTGTGTCCTGTGGGCCCGTCTGAGCCTTGGTTTCCCCATGGTTAAAATGCCTGCCCAGGAGGCGCAGTGGCTCACACCTATAATTAATGTGGATCACTTAAGGTCAGGAGTTGGAGACCAGGAGTTGGATCCACAGGCCGATGCATGTGGATCACTTAAGGTCAGGAGCTGGCCAACATGGTGAAACTCTGTCTCCACTAAAAATACAAAAATTAGCCAGGTGTGGTGGTGGGCACCTGTAATCTCAGCTACTCAGGAGGCTGAGGCAGGAGAATTGCTTGAACCTGGGAGGCCAGGGCTACAATGAGCTGAGATTGGCACTGCACTCCCGCCTGGGCGTCAGAGCTGAGACCCCATCTCAAGAACAAAAAGAAGACAAAACAAAAAAAATTCCTGGTGCGTGAGAGGACCTGGGGATTTGTGACCAGCCGTGTTTCCCGTTAGCTGCAGTAGCACCTTGAGAAGAAAGCTGGCTCTCCCTGCGGTTTCTCAAGATTCAGTCCAGGGATGCTGGACCCTAGATGAAAGTATTTATTGAGCACTTGCTGTGTGCCAGACACTGGGCCAAATGTTTGCTGTCATTCCCTTCTGCTTTCTTACTTTTTGTTTTGTTTTGTTTTGTTTTTTTTGGAGACAAGGTCTCAACCGCTCAGTCACCCAGGCTGGAGTGCAGTGGTGTGATCATGGCTGACTGCAGCCTTAACCTCCTGGGCTTAAGTGATCCTCCTGCCTCAGCCTCCCTGGTAGCTGCGACCACAGGCATGCACCACTATGGTAATTTTTAATTTTTTTGTAGAGAGGAGGTCTTGTCATGTTGCCCAGGCTGGTGTCAAACTCTTGGCTCTTGGCCTCGGGTGATCCACCTGCCTGAGCCCCGCTGCCTCCTGTTTTCTTCCTGCCTCTGGTCCTATCCTTGAGTGACATTCAGGTTCCCGAATCCTGGGGTTTCCAGGGTATAGCTTTTTGTGTTTTCTGTTTGGGCCTTGCTTTGTGGACCACAGGCCTGACTTCCTTCTCTGC